GAGAATACTCGTCACTTTTACTGTCTTTTATGATGTAATAATATGTTTTACTCAATGTTTTATACCTTTTAGATGTTCCACCTTATCGTGTATGATGACATATATGTTTCATTTCTAACGAGAGTAATAATAATATAAACGATTGTATTGATGTCGAAGTCATTGACGGTAAAAATTGATGGTACGTATCTATATAAACGAGGAGAAATTCGAATATACTACGTATTTTATATATATATATATATATCTAATTTTAAAATAATTATATATGCAAATTACTGTTGCAGTTTAACGAAATAATGCATTTTTAAGTGATTTCTTTAATATATAATTTTCTTGAAAATTTTACAATTTTATAATACTCACATACAAAAATAAATTTCAAAATATAATTAAAATAAACTATATAGAAAGTAAAAATACTCGTTTTTTTATGAAGCAGCCAATTTAATGGAATCCAGTCTAATGCACTCAACGTGCGGAGCGTGCACAATTAGAGGTTTAAACGAAGCGCGTTTATTTGTTTTCTGTAATAGCAATAGGAATACTCGATTTGCTGTACGATCGATAATATATAGATATCAGATAATATATAGATGCACGCGAGACAAATAAATAATGCTAAAGATGTGACATTCGACACAAGCCTATATATATATAAAATATGTAAATGTACAAGCACAGTATGCACAATATTCGCGATATGCGAAAATTCGATTGAATAATAAATGCGTATATTAATTACTGCAGACAATCGCTTCACCCGACGCCGCGACACGCAACTCATCATAATCGTTGATAATTATTATTAACGCATCATTTCTGATAATAAATAAAAAACACAACAAATTCGCTTTAACTCCGAAGTTCGAACTATAAAATGGCGGACTCTCTTCTTCGCGCGCGCTTTGCACGACTTGCGCGTCGTACTTGACGCAGTCGAGCCAATCGAAAATCAAATAGCCAAAAGCCAACGACATGATTAAATGTCGCACATAGTAAATAATAATTGTATTATTGTCATCGTATAATAACAATATTCTTAAATATATATTTTCTACAGCATATGCATAAATATTGTTAATCTTGCGAAAATTATTTTATCGCTTAACGATAATTATATAATGCATAAAGCCAAATTCTATATTCCAAATTCTATACCTCAAGATACACTATATTTAGTCTTTTAAAAGTGTAATTGAAACAATTGTGAACATTGCTTTGCACTTGATACGGTTGACAATGATTGATTGCAGAGACGATAAATTTGATCGCGCGCTGCATTACTCGACACTTTTGCGACTAATTCAACACACACAGTGATCACTATTGACGGATAAAAATTACACGGAACGCGGAGCGACATCGTCGCGCGACGACAAACCAGACAAACCGACGTGATGCGACGCTACGCGATACAACGCAACGCGACGCACGGCGCCGTGACAGTCAAAGATGGCGGTTTCGCGCGACAGCATGCGCGCTGAACTTGACGTAGCGTTACAAAGCGCTCGATCTACATTCTCGAGCCTTGTAAATATCGAAAAAAAAACTGAGCATGCTATTTAAGATGGCCTCGAACAAAGACCGATAACGAGTACTTCTCTTCTTCGATAGAGTATTTTATAAATGGACATGCAAGAATCTAGGGAGTGTCATAACATGCGATTCACTGTATGATAAACTGTTCTCCGAGATAAATATTCTCCGCTGGAGAAATCGTTTTGGAAAAAGAGATTAATCGGCACGCTAAGCTCCCTGAAAAACACTCGGAATCTGTCTTATCCATTCTGTCGAGCTGCCGAGTTCTTTTCTGCCGGCAACTAGATCCATTTATCGAAATTACGTCCATTCAACGAAGCACGAGAGAGAAAAGTAGGCTACCAATGATGGGTTTCTTTATCCAAGTTTCCTATTTTATACGAACCGACGGAGAAAGAAAGAGACTCTATCGCGTCAACTAATATTCTCTCAACTTTAAATTTTCTAATAAAAAAGATAAGAAAGTTTTTATCGCGACACGTTCTAGATATATGCTAATAACATCTAATCTTTATGCTCTATCAATCGTCAGGAGCATACATCTTCTGATGTGGCGTTTTATACCAAGATTTTGTCGTAAAATTCGATAAATATTTCCACAAGAACGTCTTATTATGATGCTAAAATTATAAAAGTTGCGATGTCATGTTTACTAATGACATGTAATACTATACTGCTGAACCTTTCTTATCAAAAAACGAAACGATTTTTTCTCTATCGATTTGTAATAGAATTTCATATTTTTTTCAACTTTGAAAATTTTATAATTACTTTGATAAGATAAATAATAATCAAATTAAATAATTTTAATAAAATAAAATCATGAGCAAAAATTAATTTTGTTTGTCATTTATTTTTGCTCATATAATAAATAACATATTACATCGATTAAGCGCATATATTTTGTTCATAATCACTCTTATAATCACAAAACTTGTATTCTTTTAAGATTTAGATCTAGAAAATAAAAATCGGAGTGTAAGAATCTAGAAGAGTGTGACAGAAGCATAAACAAAACTTTTAGCAAACGCAAATTAGAACAGCAGTAAAAAAAGCTTTTTAAAAGATAAACGCTCTTACATTTCGATCCCTAACGAATTGAGTCCGTTCTCGGAATTGCCGCTTGTTTATGCAGCAAGAACTTGTCAAAGAAAAAAACGTACGATGATGAGCTTTTCTAAGCTGAATTTTCTAAGCTTTTTTCTAAGCTATTTAGCAGGTTCGGAAAAATTCAAATTATCTCTATTTTAAACGCATAATTAAGGTCTTCTGAGAAGAGACATACATGAGAAAAATTAGTCTACGTTGTTGAAACATGGCATAACAATAATTCTAAAGCAAAAACAACATTTAATTTTTAAAGACATTTCACAAATACATGGAACAAAAGTCAGTTTGAAAAGAAAAAGGAATTTTTACATATATAATTTAAACATATATAATTTTTTATAATACATAATATACAATAGTATAATCATCTCAAAGCGACATAAAAAAAATATTCATCGCCTAGCAAACTTTTGAAAAAATTACAAAACAAATTATCTTTTATTTTCGAATTATCGCTTCTCACATCAATAAACATTCAATCACTCTATTTTCGGATACTATATGTATACATGGCAAACATTTTTAACTGACGATAAAGCAATGAATAATTATTATGAATAATTTATATTACAGTATATTTGTAAAATGTTGAATAATCTGAAAAACTATGGCAAAATCTTACGGAATGAAATAAAATAAATGATGATTTTGAACTATAGGGAATCCAACTCCGATGACCTTGATCTTGATATATGTTATCAAGATCATGACTCTGAATGAATTCCAATAAATTTTATTTTATTCATAAAGTTATTCATAAAGTTATTAATAAAAAAAGTTTAACAAATAATGTCTTATTTCTATCATATACAATCAAAAACTACCCTATATCCTTCCTTGTAGGCGTTTGACTTTTCACGCGAAAGAAGTTCACTCCATCTTTCCCCTTGCCTAGGAGCACACGATTTTCTACTCGAAACGAGGTTCACCCATGGTGGAAGGGATAACATGATGGTGTACGATTGAACAGTGTCTCTGCCCTCTCTATTCTATGGACTGTTCATAAGGAGGAAGGACAACCAACTGTGAGACGCTAAACATGAAATGGAATTTATAGTCCGTTTTTATTTTAAACTTTTTATTTTAAACTTTTAAACTATTTTATTTTTAAAACTGTCTTAAGATGCTAATACAGTCCTCGGATTGATTTATGACATCTTAAGACTGTATTTAAGACAATCTTAAATGCAAGAATTGATTATGAATATTGGCCTGTTTCGCGTCATGAAATTGGTACAGAACTTTCCTTATTTAACACATTCTTTTCTATAAAAAGACAATCTAAGATGCATTATAAAGTCAAACAAGGAAAAATTCAATACCAATTTCAAGATGTCGGTATTCATAATCGATTCTTGCATTTAAGACAGTCTTAAGATGTCATAAGTCAATCTGACTGTATTAGCATCTTAATACGGTATTTAAGACGGTTTTAAAATAAAAACGAACTATGAATACCGTCTCCCCTTCCTCTCCCCATATTTTACGTTTCAGTTTCAGTTGGTAACTCTTGCTCCCTGACGACACAGAACAAAAGTAGACGTAGTTTGGCCGAACTGCACACATTATGTAATTCTTCTACCACGGGTTCATCCCACCTCTCTCCCTACTTAGAAGCGATCGACTTTCCAAGCGAAGTAACTTCAATCCTACTTCGCACCCTGCCTCGAGGCGTATAACATTCCACACGAAACGAGTTCCACCTAATTCCCCCTCTTTCCCCTCCCCCGCCTAGAAGCGCACGATTTTCAACGCAAAAGAATCACAAGATTCACTCGCACGAAAAATCGGTCGCCTCTTGACAAAAGAAGAGATAGAGTGGAACTCGCTTCGCATAGAAAATCGGACGCTTCTAGACAGAGGGAGCAGGAAAGGAATATATGCAGTTTCTTAATAACGAAACTAGTAAAAATGAAACATTATTAATCTTAAACATTTTTTTGTTAATAATTAATCTTAAACTTTTTTGTTAATAACTTTTTAACGAGCGCCAACTAAAATTTGTTAGAAGTCATTTACAACATATATCAAGGACATCAAGGTCAAAGTCATCAAAGCTGGATCCCATATAGTGCACAATTACTAAATAAATTTTCTAATTAATCTTTTTAATTATGGAATTTTATATTAATACAATATTTAAAAATATAAAAAACTAAATCATGATCATTATTGTGTTTAAAGAGTTTGATATTTCGTAATTTTAATTTTGTTACAAACAAAAAAGTTACATATTATTTACATTATATTACACAATCAAATTAATTATTAAAATATTAAACTATTATCACAAGAAGAATTGCACAGTTACAAAAATTCAATATTCTTTTGTATTCTTAATGCTCCTATATTCTCAAATGCTCAAAAAATGTCAGTTACTTGAATAGCAATATATATCTAAAATTACAGTGCAACATATATTCGATGTACATCACAGCTTTATGAGAATATACACGATGTAATTAGCATATTGCCCGAAGTGACTCGATTTCGGAATACTTACTTTAATTAATGTTGGAGTTAATTCACTCGCTTATATAGTTATTAAGAAGAAAGATGACGACAAATCCAACGACTACCGATAGAAATTGTAAAATGCCTGCAAATCTGCGTGAATTTTTGTGCCATCGAATCCTTTCCCTCGGAAGAACTTCACTTACGGTGACGTATAGCAAAGTCCCACCTGCTAGACCTTGCAAAATTGGCAGTATCACCTTGGACCAATCCGTATCCGTCTATGCATATTTAAAATCGATATTAGAATTATAGCGAATTTGGTTAGATATGCGCACTAGTGTGCATATTAAAGCTGTTGTCCACTGATTTAATCTGTGTAAAAGTAAAATGCAAATATTTCTAGTTACAAAATACGGAATTTACTTAAAAGCAATAAAGTGTATTGAGGATAATTTAATCTATTTTTATATTTATATTAACCATATTTTTATGTCAATTTATGTACAACTGTTTTAATGTGCACCAATGCGCATCCAATCGAATTTGCTATTAGATATATTCTTCCAAATTGATGTTATCCAATGATATTTAAATAAGAACTTGTCGAAAAATAAGCTTTTCTCACCTGAAATGTTAACATGCCAATGCCGATTCCAACGACAGATCCAATAGCAAACAGAAAAATCGCAAATATTAATTTAGGAACAGATTTACTAACTCCCGCTAATTCCAGTCCCAAACAGAAACCGACGACAAACTTGTGTGATGCTACCGCTCCGGTTAATAACAGTACCTTAAAAAAAAAACATATTTTTTATAATATCGCATGCAATATACAAAATTCTTCGGAAAATCTGACGATAAAATTGAGATTGTGATATCTCGTAATGCGTCTTACACAAATATTTGCTTCATAAATATATATTGCTTCGTAAATATAATACAGAAAATACATTATAAAAATAATACATATATTCCATCCTCTCTCTCTCTCTCTCTCTCTCTCTCTCTCTCTCTCTCTCTCTCTCTCTCTCTCTCTCTCTCACTCATTAAATTACATATTTAAAAATTATGCAAATTCGATATAAATTTAACATGGAAACAACATTGTCACTACTCTACTATTACTGTTATTATCTAAATCCAATTTATCTTTCTTCTCATTACTATTTATTACACTGAATAGTAATTAGTATCATACCTCAGTGATTTTTGTCTGCAATCCTATTGCAAGTCCTTCGAGAACGGCATGTACAGTGAGAGCGAGAGCAAGACCGGCGAGACCAGTATTGGCATCGGTATATTGTTCGCCATGGTTTCCGTGACATAAAAATGTATTTTCTTTGTTTAACAGTCTTGAACGACAGTTACATGCGATGCATCTCGTCGCGCCGTAGCTAGTAAACGTCCGCGCATTATTGGCACTATCATCAAGAGGATTTTGACGGTAATTGAACGATAATTTCACGTCACCTTCGGACATGTACATCTTGCTGTCTTGCGAGGCGGCATTGTAACCAACACTATAATTTTGATCATTCAAGATAGATGTAAAGATAATCTTTACATGGCAGCGTCGAGCGTCAAAGTATGAGCAGTAATATGTTTAATAATTTTACTAAAATTGAATTTAATGTACGAGAAACACTAATAATGGAATCTTGTAGTTTACACTGTATAAATAAATATAAATTTTCAGCATTATATGTTAAAATAGTGTATATCAGAATATAACATAATTTATCATTTTGCGTTAAAAAGCTGTGCAGAAGATTATTGCGCAGGAATCTGGAGATTCAAACTTCTGCGCAATAATCTTCTGCCCAAATGCTCGACGCTCGACGCATGTAATGGTATCTTAATTCGATCAAAGGGAAACAAAACCGAGATCACACAAAGATACAACAGGTCACAGAAAGGCCTTACACACAATAGAAGGAATAAGGAATTAGGAATAAAAAATAAACCATTCAATCTATCAGAAACCGTGTATTTCAATATATCTTTCTGATATGTATAATTTCTGATAGATTAAAATCATTCAGTCTTTATTCCTTATTCCTTCTATTGTGCGCAGTGCCAAAGATTGCAATATTTTTTCTTTGATGTTTCGAAAACGCAGCTTGCTCATCCAAGTGATTGGTTCTTACTCAGAGATCTATAAATAAGAATCAACCAATCAATGAGCAAGCCTGCATTCCGAAACCCATCGAAAAAAAAAGTGTTGCAACCTTTCTGTGATTGCTTATATATGCGTGAAAAATACGAAAAAAGTGCTAAGAGGCAGTTTAAACAACGTTTAATTCCTAATGCTGATTCTACAATAGCCCATATTTATAGTCAAAGCTCAAGGCAGCACTTATGACTCCTGAAAAATTCCTTAAGGAAGAACTTTTCGAAGATCGTCTTATTTCGTGACTATGAATTGTGATTTCAAAACGATCTTGATTGAATAAGACAACGCGATAACCAATGAACACATTAAGAGCTATAAGCTTATTGGCTATCGCATCACATTTTGCTGCGTGGCAAGCGTTTCCAGTGTGCAGGAGCCATTAAAATCGTCTTGATCAAGAGTGTCTTATTCAATTAAGATCTTGAAATCGTAATAATTCATAATCACGATATAAGACGATCTTCGAAAAGTTCTTCCTTAAGGAATTTTTGTTTGATTTAAGGTTGTCTTGACGAAGATGTTTTTAAGATTGAATTTATTTGATATTCATTTATATTCTGTTGGATTCTCCAAAGAAATACTGAATAGAAAAGAAATACTTGAGAATAATTTTACGAAATGTTTTATTATTTGACTTAAAATGCACTCCCTGGTGAAAAAAATTTCACTGAAATTATTTCACGTTTGGAATGTTTAGTAAAATTGTTGAAAAGAATGATGGCAAAAAGACCTGTTTTTTCGCCCATTTTTTGAACCTCGAATTCCAAATATTTTTTATGCCAAATAGTACTATATGTAACATTAATCCTAGAGAAATTTTAAGATGAGCATAGGCACGATTCCGGAGATATGAAGAGATGAAAACGATGTTTCCTCATAACCCATGAAATACACGAAACTCAAGTATCCATACCAAGCAATAAAATATATATTTAACGAAGTGAAACATATCATTTCTTATAGATTGTTTTACGTCGAATTCAAATATAATCTTAGTTCTCGTCTAGCATAAAAATTCCCCGAGATGGAGTTGAAGTGACACTTGATGCCGCCTTTTACAGATTGGGGTGCTTTTTTAAAGTGAGTCCCCTTGCCTCTCACAGATCGAAGTGCTTTCATCCTCTTTTATTTCCCTTTTTATTTCCGGAACTGTGCCTATGCTCATTTTGAAATTTTACTGGAATTAATGTTTCATCTAATAGTACTATTTGCCATAAAAAAAGTTTGAATTCGAGATCCAAAAAAATAAACGAAATTTGTTATTATTCTTTACTAAAATTTCACTAAAAGTGATTTTTCAGCTGACATACTGAAAAATCGCTAAAATTGAAATTTCTCTGTACTTCTATAGAAATTTCTAAGAAATTTTTCCTAGAATTTCTAGGAAATTTCTCTAAAATTTTACAGAAATTTTACTGAAAATGAATTTTTCAAATTGCTGAAATTAAATTGAAATTTTTCTGAAATGCTGAAATTTCGCTGAAGTATTCCAAAACGTGAACTAACTTCAGCGAAATTTTTTTGTTTGAGTTGAAGAGTAAATTTTGAAGAGAAATTTATTTGAGTTGAAGAGTTGATTTTGTAAAATTGTTTTATTTGTATTTTCTTGAAATACTGCAGATGATAAATATTAAAAAGACCTTGTTCACCTCAAATTTTGATAAAAATACAATCAATGCGATCAATCGTAAAAATAAAAATTTGACAAGAAAAAAGTGTCATGCTGCTCCACGAACCGAAATATATCAGTTGACGACTATTCAGGTTAAGAAATCTGTCACAGCAGTGGTTCATTTCTTTAAAAACACAAATTCACTACTTTAGCAGAAAAATTGATAATTATATAATTCAGCTTGCACACAGCTAAAAAAATCAATAAAATTATTCGACGCGTTTGTGCATAAAACAGAAAAATCTGAAGAAATAAGCGTCGCTTTGTCCTGTGAATCGAGATATTAAAGTTGACAACTATTGAGATTGAGAAATCTGTCATAGCCATGCAAGACTAAATTCATTTGCAGTATTATTACCTCTGCTTTAAAAACAAATTTATCGCTTAAACACAAATTCTCTGATCTAAAACACAAATTCACTGCTTTAAAAATAATATAAGAAAATAATTTGTGTTTTTAAAGCAGAGGATTTGTTTTAAAACAGAGAATAGCTTATTTAGTAGCTTATTTAAAATTGATACCTTTTTAATTTTTTTATATGAATTAAAGTTTAAATCCAATATTTCTTTAAAATAGACACTGTAACTATAATGTGACTCCGCCATTGTCCAAATTCCTATAAATTTTGAAAAAAGTTACAAATGCTTCATTCCTATAAGAGCAAAATATTTCTAGAATGTTATATGGATATTATTAAAAAAAATTAAAATAAGTTATAATATTATAATATTTTGAAAATATCATATAA